AGAATATAGTAGTGTTTTCTCTCTTTTTATGTTTTCTCTCAATCTCTGACGAAGCTTTAATAGAAATAAAACAATCTTAGATTGATATACGTTTCCTATTTGTTCTTTTATTTTATCATCCTGTCAGATTCCGATCCATATTTGATCTGCATTTGATCTTTAAATCACATCTATGTACAAAGAAAAAGAATATATTTGTGAATAATTATTTATTTATTTGTATTAGGAATCAAAGGAAGATTATTTTTTCTTTAAAAAAAAATGCAATTTACTTAAAAAATAATCTGGATCATTTATGTAAGTAGATATTTAATTTTATACCTACATGCAACCAACTATTTATTCCTCTTGTTTAATAATCTAGGTTTATTTAAGTGTTTTAAGAGAACTAATAATACATAAACTCGATCTATTTCCTTTCCCGGTGTAAGATATGGCTCTTGCTACAATATCCCAGGTAATAATAAGGATATTAGTATCATTCTTTAATTGCCATAGATATCTAGAGAGAGCAGTGCAGTTTTTGTTTTACTTTATATTGCCTAACGTCGTTCGATGATAGTAGAAATTGAAAACAAAATAAAATGTAACATCGTTACCGGAATATATGCTATTTCTGTATACAATATTATCATCAAACATTGATATTTTAGAGACAGATCATATTTTTTCGGCAGTTGCATTTATTAATTTTTAGAAAACAATAGGCATAAACAGTGAAAATGAAAAAAAATTTGGGGGATAACTGAGGAACCACGACTAAAATAAATACATTAGAATCTGTCTATATTTCTGAGATGAGGTATTATGTACACTATTTACATTATTCGGACTATTGTCGTCATATTTGTCGACATGTTTATCGCAACATTTCGGCCGCAGTACGCTCCGGCCTTCTTCAGGTGGTTTGAATGCCGAACTGGACACTTTATTTCGCTCACTGGGGTTGACTGTTCTGGTTCTACGTGCCATTTCTAGTGGATGTCAGTTATCGCCTGTTAATTCCCCTCTCCAAGTTCTCCACCGCCTTCACCAGGTATTGAACTTACACTCTTTGGTTCCTGTCACACTTCGGAATGGGATCACACGTGCATCGACAGGAGGAAGGTTTAGTACTGGGCTCGCCATTATCACCAGCAATGGGTTCAGTTCGACAATAGGAAAACTGTATTATTAACCGACACGTTTCGATAATATGAACTTTTTCAAGGCACTGAATTGGCGCTTCACCTAATTTTCAGTAGACAATATGAATACAACAGCATTTTCTAAATTCTTCAAGTTGCTAAGGAGATTTTGTTTTGTTGTTGATAGTTATTTTGTTTTCAATAAATTCATTTGGTTTTGCGCCTTGAAAAATTCAACACTGGAGAAAACGCGTCGGCTAATAATGCATTTTTCCTATTGCAGATTAGCTTTATATATATATATATATATATATATATATATATATACATCATCACTTGATAAGACACAGAGTGTGTTGAAACAAAATGGCTATTTTTGTAGTGATTTTTATAACATACTTATGTTATAATTTTTTTATAAAAAATAATTATATATATATAAAAACTCATATCTCTGCAAAAATTATTGCACATATGTGTGTATTTTTGTGTTCATATATGTGTAATATTTTTTGGATATATATCAGTTTGGTTTTTGTACACTCAAACATAAACACACAGACACAGCAAGTGTCTGATTGACGTTCTATTATCGCTTCTTTTCTTTTATAAATACAACCCTTCGAGAGAGAAATGGCTACAAGCACCGCAGGGCTTACGTGCTGTCGGAAGTGATTCCGTCAAGTGGAGCTATTTGTCACAAATCTGTGGCCGGTCTCTCCGGGTTTCTGTTTTGGTGAACAAACATTTTTTTTTCTTCAACAATCATAGTTCTTATCTTATTTTCCCAATGATATTCACTCATTCCTTATTTTACCTTTGTTATTCATTCTGTCCTCGATTCATCAGCCATTATACTTAGCTGGTGATTACGCTTTATTTAAAGCTTAATATTCCCAGTAATAAAGTTGACTCTTGCTTGGAAGTTTTGTTAATAATAATGTAAAAGCAAATAATGCGCTATTTTTTTTTTTTAGTTATATGTCTATCGCTCTGCTATTTCTATTCAAAATATATTAATCATGACTGCACGGGGTTTGATCTTTTATATTTCAATCAATTACGTTATTTTGTTATTAAACTTACTATCAATATTAAGAACGCTTACTTTACTCTTTTGAGTAAGGTGCATCTACTTATTATCTCTCAGTTACGTCTCTGTTTTTGAACAGAGTGCGCTCAGGGGCTTCTCTCTCAAAGGACAGAGGGGCAACTGAGAAAATAATACTGAGAGGATCCCAAACCTGGGGAACACCTGCCCGAGGCCGCGCCCTCCCATTGCACTAGAGGGAGGCATCGGTGCTCGCACCGAGGCCAGCGCAACCAGCGGGGACCGAGGGGAATTTTTGTTCCTGTGCCGGGTGTACGCGCTCGAGTTCCTACCTAAAAATAGACGTTGTGTCACATCTCGTCCTCGTGGAGGGTGGTAGAGTAAATACTTACTCTTACTATTGATATCCCCTCTGTAAAATTGTATGTTCAGCATTGAAGGAATAGATTTGGATCAAATTAAGATTAAGGATTAGGAAAGGATGAAAACATAATTAATAAATATCCGCAAATACGTCTTATTTCTGAAATTGGATATATGTGATAGGATCAGTTGTTGGAGAATTGAAAAGAAAGGATGTAGTGGGCTTGGGCGCCTTTTCATTTGGCCTGTGAATTAACGAATCAGGGATTAACGAGAAAGTGAAATTTCATGGTAAAAAATAGGATTTTCTCCTTCAAAAGATTTTCAGTGAGTATTTCCACTTGGTGGCGAACACGTGCGCCTTAAACAACTATTTCCCCTTCGTTTAGGTGGTTCAGAATGTAAGCAATCATAGCCCTCTACATCTTCCTGTCACTTGATAAGATTTGTCTTTTTTTGTATTTTTCTTCCAAACCCTATTTTACCATTCATTTGCTCAAGCCAACCTCTTTCCTCATTAGGTACCCAAGATATTTCAACTGCGTCTGCCTAATGTAAAGTATAAGTTTGCATTCTGTTTCCATTTTCTCCAAAACTTCGTTTTTGCTCACGTGTTCGGCCCATGGTATCCTCGGCATCCTTCTGTAGAAATTTCAACTGCTTCTTCCTGATATAAAGTTAGAGTTAGCTTTTTGTTTCCATTTTGTCCAAAACCTCGTAGTTCTTCAGGTGTTTGGGCCATGGTATCCTCAGCATCCTTCTCTAGAAATTTCAACTGCCTCTTCCTGATAAGTATAAGTTTACTTTTTGTTTACATTTTCTCCAAAACCTCGTTTTTGCTCACGTGTTCGGCTTATGGTATTCTCTGCATCCTTCTGTAGAAATTTCAACTGCTTCCTGATGTTAAGTATAAGTTTCCTTTTTGTTTTCATTTTCTCCAAAACATCGTTGTTCATCAGGTGTTCGGCCCATGGTATCGTCAGCATCCTTCTGTAGAAATTTCAACTGCCTCTTCCTGATGTTAACTATAATTTTCCTTTTTGTTTCCATTTTCACCAAAACCTCGTTGTTCATCAGGTGTTCGACCTATGGTATCACCAGTACCTTTCTGTAAACTGTTACGATTGGGAAATACCTCTCAAACTCTTCACATCTTCTGCCCTTCTCAAAGTTTCGGCAAAATAAAAAAAAAAGACAAAAATATGATGGTGGGGTGGGGGGGAATATAACCATTTCATGACAAATGCGTTATGCTATTCAATACTACAAGAAAACTTTTATATCAGTGAGCTGACAGAATCAGAATTATTTTGGTATCATTCCCTCATATTAACCGTGCAGATTAACGTTGCGTCACAAGTAATTCATCGCACAATGGGACAAAGACTGTGGTTGCAATGTCTTGAGCAAAGTACTGTTTTTTTGCCATCTGGATAATAGCCCAATATTCGATTACAGATCGAATAAATGTAGTGTCAAGTTTTTTTTTACCGATTTTATATTAACATTCGTGAATGGGGACAACATTTGATCCTAACTATTCGGTGATTATCATTTTATTAAAAAAAAATGTGATCTTGGAGACAAATAACGGGAAATAGAATACATAAGTCTGTCTTTTTTCGTTATTTAGCCAAAATTCTTCAAGTATATATTTCGACTTGACTCTGATCTTCAACACCTTTTCTCAGATTAATTTTAGATGTTTTAACGAACTCCAAGATGAAATAGAATTTAAAAAGCCTCGTGCCGTCTTCTTTGTTGCTGTTGCATTTTAAATGAGTTTCTTCAACAAATAATGTAACAACAGATTTGATCAAATCAGTGATGCCTTTTACAGAGCTCAAGAACAGAAATGTCCCCACATTCGCCAAAAAGATAAGACATCTTAAGTAACAAATTCTTCTTTGTAAATATAGCAACATTAAAAACAATATAAGTTATAGAAGTTATTCCAAAATTCGCTTGAAGATGAAACAGAACTAATAATAATTATATAATTAAATTTGAAGTTTTTAGCTTCATGGTTATTAATGTGTTGCAAAGAAACCATATATTAAATCAGTTAATTTATAATATTTATGCTCTGTAAATTTACATTGAGCACTGTTTTGTAAAAATAAAAATAAGAACACCGGATTACATATCTTACTGTTCTTTCTTCTTTCAGGCTACGCAATGTTAATTGGTGTGTCCATATTATCTGATCATATGTAGACCTACTAACATAACAATTTAGTCTAATGAAGCCCTAAACTTTTTTTCCACTTTGTCATATACTTTCCCCATATACATATTTGTGTATATATATATATATATATATATACAACATTTTGTCTTTCTCTCAATATATATATATATATATATATATATATATATATATATATATATATATATATATATATATATATATATATATATATATATTTTTATTTCCTTTTTATTTCTCATAGATGCCTATGCTGAAAAACCACCAACCGGTAGCTGTAAGCTGAATATACGTAAGTCTTTGTATGTCAGGCGAAAAACAAAATGCAACTCTCTAATGAAAAACACAATATCCTTTTGTTTACTAAACGCGTATTTTGAATTCTGTCACTCGAAGGGCCGTTAGTTGTCAGAATTTTTCCGAAAAGACAAAATAAAAATAACCCGAAAAGTAGAGAAAAAAAATACACGAGATGTAAAGGTCTAAACAAGTAAATAATTCATTATTTTATTTTTTTCAGTTGAAGTGGTGAATGAAATGGAAAGTGTTTTGATAGTTGATATTTAATAAGCTTAGATTGGCACAAGGTCATTTATACTAGGGAAATATTGAGAATTGAGTGGTAATACTTAAACCGATGAGCAAGTCATGCAAGAGTTAAAATACTTCTTAATAATAAAAAAAAACACTGAGGAAAATTCTCCATCTTCCTTTTCTTTCGTGCTTTTTCTTTCTTTATTCTTTTTTCTTTCTTTCTTCCTTTCCCTTTTCATTCTTTCTCTCCTTTTTATATCTTTCTTTCATTTTTATTTCTTTCTTTTTGTGAACATAAACTAGCAGCATCTTAAGTTCATCATTTTAATCTATTTTTCTTTCTTCCTTTCTTGTCATTTTTTTATTTCTTTCTTTCCATTTTCTTTCTTCCCTTTTTCTCTCTTTCTTCCTTTCTTTTTATCTTTCTTTCTTTCCTCATTCTTTTTTAGTTCTTCCCTTTTTCTTTTCCATTTTTCTACTATATTCATTTTTCATTTGTTTTCATGTTTTTCTTTCCTTTTTCATTTATACTTTTTCCATTTTCCTATCTTCCCTTTTTTTTATTTCTTATTTTTCTTTTCAATTCTCGCATTTTTCCTGGTACATGGCCTCTTTTTTTTTTCCTTCCGTCTTTGCTATTTTTTATTTTCATTTGTTTTTCCTATTTTTTCGTTTTATTTGTTTCGTTCTTCATTTTTTTTCTTGCTTTCTTTTTATCCTTCTATTCTTTCGACTTACATTCTCGTTTTTTTCAGACTCTCTTTTTTATTTCTTTTTCTCTTTTTAGTTTTTTTTTTTGTTTTTGTTTTTGAATCGTTGATACTTTATCTCTTGTTTTTTGATTCGTCGCTTTCTTTTTTCTTGATCTATTTCTTCTACTCTTTCATTCCTTCCTTCTGCTTCACTTTCTTTTTCTTTCATCCTTTTCCTTTTTTCATTATTTCTTTTTCCATTAATCCTTTTCTTTCCTTTTTCTTGCTTTTTCATTTTTCATTGTTCCTAAATTGACTCATCATTTAAAGTCCATTCTCCATGTTTCCGTTTATACATTGTTATCTCTTGATTTGTGACGATAAATATTTATCTCTCTCTCTCTTAATATATATATATATATATATATATATATATATATATATATATATATATATATATTCCTTTTGCTTCCATTTGCCTTATTCTGTTCTTCTTGCATTATTTATTCTCATCTTTTTTTCTTCTTTTGATGCGTGTTGTGGTTCTATTTGCTTTTCCTTCTAGTCCTCCCTCTATTTTGCCTTTATTTTTCATATTTTATTTATTTACTTATCCCTTCAAACTGTTAATTTTCCAGTTCAGTTAGTCAGACCACATTTTCTGCCTCACCGAAAAATAACACATCTCTATATTCTTCTCATATCTTCTTTGATATGGCAGTGAATTCGCTTTTATTTCCTCAAGTCTACGATAGTTTTGTTTTGCAATCTACTCCTTAAGACAGCAGCGTCATAGCATTATATTCATATATATTTATATCTACATTATATATATATATATATATATATATATATATATATATATATATATATATATATATATATGTGTGTGTGTGTGTGTGTGTGTGTGTATTTAGGCAGCAGTCCTTCTATCATGGACATTTCATTGCATACGACAGACAAGGTGCTTTGATTTATTTTTATACAATTTCTCATGTGATCTAATTTTTTTTTCTTTTCAGATGATAAATTAAAACTGTCCGAATGTTCTTTTAATCCGAAAGCTTTCGGCTATACATTTAGCCATTTTCAAGGATGAAATATTCTAACTGTTAAAGAAGAAATAGTTTGTTGCATGTATGTATTTATATAATGATTTTATTTTTCAAAACACTGTCAAGGTATTGTTTCCACGTTCGTAGTTGATATTATTAAGTGTTGGATTTGTTGCTTTTATTAAAAGGCTAAAAATAATGGAAGCCTTATTAATACGACAATCACAAGTCATCGTGGCCGAGGGATTGAGGGTGCTGGTCTTGCTAAATGACATGCTCTTTCCCAGAAACTGTTACGAAGTTCTGCTCGCCGTAGTTGCATTATAAACCATAATTGAATAAAGACAAATGCGCCTGAGCAAGCATCTGCAATAAAGATTTCGATTTCGGAATGTCCAGCTATATATATATATATATACACACACACACATATATATATATATATATATATATATATATATATATATATATATATATATATTCATGTGCATGTATGGATATTTTATTTAATAATACTTATATTTGTGTAAACTCTCTTTTTATATATTTAACAGTATATTTATTTATTTTTCTCTACTGAGAAGCATCTTATTTAAGAAAAATAAGCGCTCTCTGACAGAAAGAGGGAAAACATCCTTCGATCCGACGTACCTTAATTGACTCAGCCACGAAAAAGCTTGGCCGATCAAGCAAGGTCTTAACTGTGCCTTTAAGCGAAATCCTTGTCGTCATGGATTCCTCGGAATTATCATAACTGCTCAGTATGGTATCCAAAAATAATGTTTAATATGGTTTGGTTTGGTTTGGTTTGGTTTTTGTTTTACGGCATATTAACCTCAATAAGTTATTTATTACCGACAAAATTTTCATTGCTGGTAATATGTTTTTCTTCAAAAATCTATTTCTCGGAATATTTTTCCTTGAAGAAATCTATAGCTCGTCATATTTTTTTTTCAAAGACTGTATAACTGTTTGTATTGTTGTATTTTTAAAAGTATTGCTGATAATAATTTTTCCTTCATAAAATATTGCTGGCAATAATTTTTTATTACAAAGTAATTCTGGCATTAAAAGCTGGGATCCAAAGAGGTGCTACCACCCTGGGTATTGGTGGAACTGGGATCACTAGCAATTAAGAGGTGGTTACACGCTCCTCAAAACTTCCTGATTAGAGGCCTTGATGTTGGACGTAGTTTATCGTCTTACCCAGGACGCGTATGTAGTTTATCATCTTACCCAGGACGTGGATGTAGTTTATCGACATACCCAGGACGGTGAATAATGTTTAAAGCGATGAAATATGCTAAGATAACGTCACTGTATTTGGTGCAGATAATGGAATAATTGAAACGCGTTGAAATTCTGAGCAATTCTGATGCTGCATTATTTCGGTCTACGTTGGACAAACACAAAACAATCTCTACTCTCTACAGACATTAAATAAGAGGAATAACTGGGCTCTCTTTTTCGTTTTAGATACCAGTTAAGCTGAAAAGAATTCTATAAATAAAAATGCAGAAAGATGCAAAACGTAAGTTATATATATATATATATATATATATATATATATATATATATATATATGTGTGTGTGTGTGTGTGCGTGTGTGTGTGTGGAAATCTCCGCTTTTACCTGAAGACGGTCGCGAAACCAGAAACACGTGTAGTAAAATTATGAAAATAAAGCATAATATTTTTTAAAAAATCCATATTACAACCAAAAACGTTTGCGTCACCTCTCTTCTCTTCTTTTTAATATACATACTTTTCTCTCGTTGGAACCACTACAACCTCTTTCTTTTATATATATATATATATATATATATATATATATATATATATAAGAAGGTATTGACATAAGCTATATACTGACATGCCACATTACATCAAAAGATTAGGAAGGAAACATCCGATCAATACTGAAAAGGGCGTCAACAAGTACAGAAATTGAGAAACGTATTTTCCTGGAAAAAAGATTTTGTAAATTTCAATCGAATGCGCTGCCCACTGATCGATCAAGGGATTCTGAATGTCTACTTATAAAGAAAAGGCGAATCGTACCATTACCTAAGGTAAAGAGCCTCTGGTGAACAATGGTTTACTCACTCACCACTAGATGTCATCCTACACCATTCGCTACTATACATACCACAATACCCCGTATTCATAGTGAACCTACAATAAGACACCATAGCATAAAACTTTCATGAAGTACAAATGTCCTTACACAAATATATTGTGTTGGCAACTAAGTTCCCGCCGTTTATTTTTAATTTAATTTTTTCAAATTTTTAATTTAAAATAACAACAAATTAATCAATAATGTATTCTCCCTTGTTGTTTACAACTTCTTCTCAACGTTCAACAAGATTTTCAATACCTAATTAGTAGAAACCATCTTGTTTCGACTTAAAAACTTCATCCAGCCAAGCTCTCAATTCCGTATCAATAACGAAACGCAAAGCATTTGAAAGAGATCGAAAGAGGTGGAAATCCGTTGGTGCCAAATCGGGAGAGTACGGTGGGTGTGGCAGCACTTCCCACCCATGCGTTTGAATGGCTTCCTTTGTGATATTGACGATATGAGGAAGGGCGTTGTCATGCAGCAAAAGAACTCAGTGCTGCCGCTTAGGTCTTTTCTCTTGAATAGCTGTGTTGACTCGTTCTATCTGTTGAGCATAGAGTTCCGTTTGGTTCCGTTCAAGCAATTTATAATGGATAATCCCTTCTCAGTCCCACCATACGCACACCATCGTTTTACGCGGATGAAGATCTTGTTCCACGCGTTTGTTTACCGTGGCTAAGCCATTCCTTGCACTGCTTCATATTGACGTACAGGCAACATTTTTCGTCGCCAGTAAAAATTCGGTAAAGAAATCATTGCTTGTGTCCATGAGTTGAGCGGTGACGACCAAGTAAAGCAGCGGTGATTGTGGCTCATTGATTTTTGTTGATGACATTTAAAGCATGCGGATCCCATACTCCACAGTTCAGAACTTTTCACATCGAGGGAAGATGCTCCTCAATAGCGATGTGGCAGGATTTCATTTTCTCTGCCAATTCCGTGCAAAAGTTGGTTTAATCGCTCTTCATCGAACTCAACTGGCCGGCCAGAACGAGATGTGTCTTTGAGATCAAAATTTCCATTTTTGAACTTGGCATACCAATCACGAGCGGTTCTTTCATCTATGTCATCTCTCCATACAAAACACAAATGTCGCGAGCTGTTTTGCTGCCTTAGAACCTTGATTAAAAGCAAAAAGAAGGAGGTAGTGAAAATGCTCATTTTTCTTAACTTAATATGTTAATTATCTGAAAATAAACAGAAATTAACAAATTAACTCGAAAAAAAACATTCCAAAATGATTCCAAAATAGATTTCTCGAAAAAAATAGATTCTAGAATTTAAAAAACGGTAGGAACTTAGTTTCCAACCCAATATATAAAAATGTAATTATGGTATGAAATGAGTGGGAGGGGATGAACCTCAAAAGATAAACTAAAATATAGCCAAACATTCAAGTTAAAAGTAACAGACGTTAGTAGAAACCATCCACTCCACAAAAACAATATGGCCGCTGTATTCAGCTACTTCTGACATAATGAGAAAACTCATTCACTAACGGTGAGGGAAAGATAAAATAAATATCAGCGTGTGAAAATCAAAGACTGATCCATTCGAGATGAACAAGGAGGCCAAAAACAACCTGGGGATGTTAGAAATATCGATCTGGGTCATAACCAAAGAAAAAACCCGAGTAGAAGGTAAACAAAGAGAGATTTAACTAGGGGAGGATTCAACAAGAAACCGGCGCGTTCGGATCAAAGGGATATAAAAAATAAAATCAAGATCAGCACCGTTCGCATGAACCAAGGTCGCGTTTTCACCCGCATTTCGCTGATATAACAAACGCTTTCTATCAGTTCTGATTTTCACCTTGAGTTTATACCGAAAGAATCTGATAGCTTTCGTATCGCAATATTACATCCATTCGCGTCGTTTAAATCACCGTCTTTGTCATGGCTAGCAGCGTTAGAAAACCATCCGTTTCTACCCAGAATACAGGGGCGACATATTATCGCACGCTTATGAGAGATCCATGAGCACGAGATTATCGGGATCGATACTAGCCGTCAACTCGCTGACATATTCCCAGAAATGAGAAGAATGATGGTAAGGCTAGGGAAGGCGTCTCTGTCACTCCCCTCCAAGGTCGAGTGCTCTGCCAATGTACGGCACAGGAGAGCCAACCTGGAAGAGT